GTAATTTTAATTTAAAAGTTATATTGATTTTATTTATCTACATTTCTCCCCTAACTGTAATAAAATGTGAAGTAAGCTTTTTATTTTAATTATTATATTTATTTTCATATTTAATTATCAGCACAATTTAATAACAAATATATTAGTTAATAATAATTTAATTCAATTTTAAAGTAAAATTGTGGTACATAGATAATTTATTTTTTTAGTTTAAAAAATAAAATTAATCGAACACGCGTGTTGTACATACTCAATTAAAATGATGTGAAAGAACATGAATCATGAGAAAAGAAAATTGTGATTTGTATATTAGCAATATATCTTAGAATTTTTAAAATTATTAAAGGGTGGCATAAACTTTAGCTTAGTCAACAACAGAAATAACATTTTTTAAACTCCTAAAAAAACTTAATATTCAAAGAAACTATAAAATTGTATGATATATAAACTAAAAAGTTTTAAAATACTAGTAAAAGATTTATAAAAAATAAAATTAAAGTGGACAAAAAAAAAAAAAATTGCAATAACTCCAAATGATCAAACCATCTTAGGTCCCTAAAGGGTTGGGTGAAATTCTCACACGTGGTTGAGTAGTGTCCTTACTAAGAGGGTTATATAGTTACGGTTTATTTATCAATTTTTTTTTTTAGCTTTTCTTATAATAAAATATTTCTTTCGCATCTTAATTATAGATTTTCCTCGATTTTTTTTTTCTAGTTTTTCTTAGTGTTATTGTGCACTTTACTTGTGTGGCTTTTTTCCTTAATTTGCAGGGGCTTTTAATAACGTCTATGATGTGATGAGAATTGTTTTTTCTCCTGTTTTAGCAAACTAGGTTTTTGTTCTCGTCATGCCTATTTCTTCCCAACCCAATAATTTAGCTACATCTAATTGAAAAGCCTTAAATATAAAAGTCCAAAACTTGAAGGAAATAAATATATATTGTAAATATACCCCGTCCGGTATAAAGATGAACTATACCTCACAACCTCTTCCGGTATG